CGTAGTCATTCCTGAAAAGAAAATTACAAACAATCAACTGGACTCCAAGTTTAAAGATGTTTTGCTTCCCATCCAGGAAGCTTTTTCCACTCTATAAAACCTTGAACTCAATGCTAGTACTGACATTTTGAATTGCATTTAACCCACCCATGTGCACTGCCCAGGGAGCAGCGTGTGTTTAAGGGTCTTGCTCAGGAACCCAGAGTTGAGGCTGTGGGGATCGAACCGGGTATTTGCAACCTTCTCGGAGCACAAGCACAATGTTCTAACCACTAGGCCAACACTCCCCCATACACAGTTTGTGTATGAAAGTGTTTTATTAGCAATTATGTACGAAGCATCTTTTTCTTCCCCCCACTCATCTTGGTGGATAGTGCAGTTGCTGTTTTTCCAAATGCTTATTATGTAGATGTGGGTTAAATTCTTGCTCCCTGCCAAATGTTGGTATGACACCTTCATCCCAGACACCACTGCCATAAGTATCTGGGGCCAGATCCTTGAAAGCTGTTTTGTTGAACTGAAAAGTGTTATCTTCAAGCTTGTATGCAAGGATATGCGCATAAGCTGCAATTCTCTTCCCTTCTGCTGCAGTTAACCCACTTTAAATTAATTCTTGTATTGAAACCACATTTTCTCTTTGATTTGAACATATATGGTTTAGCTTTTTATTCTGTAAAGATTAAACAATTTTATTCATATAATTGTTTTTTTATCCAAAAAGGCATATCCACAAATACAGTCATAATAAACACAACCTCTCTTTTCCAGTTTTGAAAATGTTGCCAGGCAAAACACTAAGAGATTATTTGTTCTACTAATGTTAAAGCTATTAACTTATGTCCTCCTTTCAATTTCTTTGTGCAATTCAGGATTCTGGAATTCTGTCTCAGAGTACATTTCGCCCCCCGATGTACCTGTTTGAATTTTATTGCTTTGTACTTTTACCATGAGAGGCTGGATTCAGAAAGTCTCTCTTGTGAAATGACTTATGACTTACTTAAATAAACTTTGTGAAATTGTCTTTACATTTATGTTTAATACATTTTTAGAGAACAAATAAAGCTCATTCAGACTCTCTTTCATACGCCTTTATTTTCCTTGCTTGGTTATTGCAAGAGAATTTGCATAGTCTGTATACTGTGCTCATTTGGGTGCGGCATTAGCAGTTACCCATGGTTGTTTAGCATTATTTCTCTTAAATGATAGGTAGAAAGTTACACGAGCATCAACAGCATCCTTGATTATTGAAATCTCGCCTTTTGGTGGAATAGAGATGGGAGCGGTGACAGCAGGGTGGGCTAATGTTAGCACCCTTTAGGAATTAC